AGAAATATTTACAACATTATTGATTGTATTCCTCGGACTGTCTTTTTCTATCCCTGCGGCCAAATTACAATTACCCAATTGTATTGTCTCATCCCTTCCCTTTCTCCTTCATCCCCACCCCCTCCCGACTAGCAACCCTCAGTTCTTCCTCTGTGTCTCTGAGACTATCTCCATCCACTTCTCCCATCCATTCCAAAAACTAGACGTTTTAATTTTTAATACAGGACTTTAAGAAGATGAGATGAAGCAAACTATGAAGGATATACAGTAAGTTCTAGATTCTCGTGTTCTGTACCTCTTCTTTAAGGAATAGCGAACTCGTCACCAGTACCAGCGCTGACTGCTACATGTCTAGCATGGAACTTCCTAATGTGGGTTGGATGTGGTTGGAATAATCCATGCCGAGATATCCCAGTTTTACTTCAGGCATTTACTACCAAGTTCTTAGTTTTCACTGCTTAGGTATTTCTTCAATGAGCAGTCTACAGGATGGCATCTTTAGCATTGGTTTCTTTGGAAGAGTTCACACTAGAACACTTTGCGCTGTGTCGTGTGTGCCCATGTGATGCTGTGGGTCCCAAATACCCTGTTACCTGAATACACGTTCCCTTGTATTCTCTCTGATATGATCCACTTGCTCTCATCTCCTTGAATAGAGCCAGGAGCTTGATTTCTGAAGAACTGAAGTCCTTCTAATTCCAGGGAGTTCAACATTTTCTTTTTCTTTTCAATGCGTTTGTGCAAGAAAAAGACATTTTATCTTTCTAAAGATGTATTTGATTCTGTGGTATGACTGAGTTCACCTGGGAGGTTCTTCTGCCTTATGTGGCATTGGCTGGGGTCACTCGGGCAGCCGTGTTCAGCTAGGAGCTCGTCTGGGGCGGGAACCTCTGGCACGTCAGCTGGGGTGTCTGGAATGGCTGGGGGCTGGCCAGGCCCCTCTAATAGCCTGGTTGGATTTTTTTAATGGCTCAAGGGCTCCAAGAGCAGCCAGGTTCCCAGGTCCTAACTATGTCATCCTGCCTTGCAAAGCCATTTTTGTGAAGGGAATGATCAGTGGTGTCACAGAAGCCAATAAAGATGAGCGCGGGGAAAAGGCTACCGGTTGGATGACTGGGAGGTGCTGGTAAGAAAAAGACAGTTTCAAAAAGCAATGGTGTCTAGGGCTGGATGGCAAGGGGGCTGAGTCATTGCCAGCATCCAGCTCTCTTTCCTGGGGGAATTCCTTGGACACTGGTGCTAGTGAGATGCTCTTTTATAAACATTTTATGGACAATTAACATTGGAAAACTGCCTGGGATAACCCTCCTCTGATATGTTATAATGCATGTTAGCTTACAAAAGACTTCGAAAAGTAGGGCCATAAGAACACCTATTTGAAGCCGGGGACAGAGAGATGTATCCACAGTGGCCAATGTCCTGAGCGCCTCCCTCGGCCCCGTGTGGCAGTCTTACAGGCAGTCCCTGTCGGGGGAGCTGCAGACCAGGGGCACACACTGGGGCTAATCACTTTGCTCCCCAAGGGCTTTATTTGGGCAGACTGTCCTCACCACCATCTGGACTGCCTCTCAGAAGGCATCTTCTCTACTGCCTGGCTAGAGCTGCAAAGAAAGGGACAGATCCCACTTTGGTAAAAAGGACAGGGAAAGGCCATCAACAAAGACAGACTTAGAGTTTATTTTGTATTTTTAAAAAATAAATACGCTTTAGGGCCGGCCAAGTGGCACATTGGTTAAGAGCTGGCTTGGGACGCCAGAGGCCCTAGTTCGGATCCCACCTATGAAGGCCAGTGGCACTGCCCTCCACAGCTAAGATGCTGAACAAGAGCTCAACCTGGAGCTGGGCTGCCGTGAGTCTCTGGCGACGGTGTAGGCTGCAGCCCCTGTGGCAGTGGGTTGTCATGGGCTACCGTGTGTAGCCAGCAGCCACCGTGAGCGGCCGTCCAGAAGTCGGCGACTGATCTGCCTCGCCCGGGAAGAGCACAGTGATGGTGCCAACTTGGGCCAGTGAGGCAATGTCCTCCACAACTAGACTGAAGAACAAAGGACAGCAACTTGTCTGTTTCCATCCCCCAATTCCCCAATAAGAATCTTTAAATAAAAAGCAAAAAAACTATTTCTTGTTCTTTAAGTCAAGAACATTATACAAAGAAAAAGAAAAAAAAAGAACACCTGTTTAACTTTGTTTAATCAGTTTTTGTGACACTTGACCATGGATCTTTTACTTTTTGTTAAGCCCTACAAATAAATTGAACACACTAGGATTTTTTATAAATTTTACAAAGCTGGGTTCATACTCTATATTCTATTTTGTAACATGAAAAGGCAGTATAGTATATTTTCCAAGGAGTTAATCGTATACCCTTTTTTGCTATGAAGAATCAAATATTAGTATTATGTTTCTTAAAAGCAAAGTTTGGATAACGTTTTAAACCTTACATTTCTAGCTTTCAAGAGATGGCAGTCTTGCTTTGGAGTATAATTGCTGTCACTGTTGATGTTTTATAAAATGTTAACTTGTAACTGCATTGAACTGTACAACAGATTCTGAATAATATTTTAGCATTTCACTCCTTTACAGATGAGAAGAGGGAGGTGAAAGGAAGTACACCAGCAGGATGGTGAAGGTTAGTTTATAAGATATTTGCCTCCATTTTAATAGTGAATACAAGTTGGTGTTACTGATTTCTGTTTCTGGGCAAGAGGTTCAAATTCAAAATCATTGCTTTATGCTTTAACATGAAAACCTTTGGAAGTATTTATGGATTCTCTATTTGGCTATAGAACCCCATGGTAACTTGTGTGTTAGTGAGGTGTGGCAAAAAAATCAGTTACAAGATGTAATCATCACAAAATAAGAATTTTTATTTATGGCAAACACATACTGGATTCCTACTATGTGTGAACCATAATAGATGAGGTTGGCTGAAATATTTTTGGCATTTTTAAAAACTCTCCCTTAGAATAAAACTTTTGCTACATTTGTGATGGATTCTCTAAATTGTCTTGTGAATGTTTCCTTCTCCTCCCTTGGCAACAAATAAGGAACTACTATAAAATAAGTAACAGGAAGGAATTAAAAATAGGGATTTGGCAAGTTCAAAACAGATTTAAGGGGCCTTGATAAATCACACTGCTTCTAGATGACACCGTTGTATCATGAGATTATTTTGATCTAAGGGGCTCAATCTGAGGTGGGTTTGGGGGTGCATTAGTCCAGCAGGTGGGTTTCTGGTAGGCAGTGTGACGTGGGAGAAGCAGTGCTGGCCTGAATGCCCACACCTGTGAGGTCTCACCTACATCTGCAACCAGCCAGTTCAGGGGGTAGAGTGGGGGATTCATCGCTTCAGGTTCCATTTCTTCCTCCATAAAAGTAGGGGCATTTTTCTCACTCCACAGTCCCCTGATTTAGTCCTATATTTTCTGACTTGATTCAGCTGTTCAGTTATTGAAATATTTTAATGAATATGGTGCATATCATCTTAAAACCCTATTTAAGATGTATATGCTAAAAAGAAAAAAAGACAGAGCCTCAGAATAAAACAGGCCCTTCCAAAGACCAGTCAGTAATCTAGAGGCACTGAGAAATTAATACCCCACCGAAAGCACTATAGTAACCAAAGAAAGGGTAGAGATAATGTGGTTTTTGTGTCACAGAAATTGTGCACATTTAATAGAGGGAATAATATGGCCAAGATAAATGAACAAAATAATAATGGAAGTAAAATGAGAATTACAGATGACAATGTATTGATTATCAGGCACTTATTGTATCCTGAGTTTATATACAGTAATACCTTGGTTTGTGAGCATAATTCATTCTGGAAACAAACTACTTGCATTGCAAGACATCGCTTGTTTACCACGTTAAAATGTATTAGAAATGTTTGCTTGTCTTGCAGAACACTCACAAACCATGTTACTTGCAACCCAAGGTTTTACTGCATGTTTATATCTTACATATTTGTAAGAAAAGTGTATGTATATGTATGACATATATATATATATATATATATATATATATATAATTATAGGTCATGACCTATTTAGTGGGTTGTGACCAACATTACTAAAATAAAAGATCAGAATGCATCGTGTGTAGTAATGGTAAGTGTTGTATGAAATTTTTTATGCACGCGCATGGTGTGCAAACACATTTACCTGTGTACTACATCACAGTGTGAAATGTATTTCTTTTTTTTAAAAAAAGCTCAAACCCATCGGCTCCAAGGCAAGTCATTGTTTTCAATCGGCAACCTTGGTGTTACGAGCACCACGCTCTAACCCACTGAGCCAACCGGCCACCCATCGGCAGCTCAACTCCAAGTCAAGTAGTTGTTTCAATCTAGTTGTGGAGGGCGCAGCTCCTTGGCCCATGTGGGAATCGAACCGGTAACCTTGGTGGTATGAGCCTGTGCTCTAACCACCTGAGTTAACTGGCCACCCGCTGTAAAATGTATTTCTAACTGGGTCAGGGTCATTGATGGAAAGAGTATACTCAGTACAAATTAAGATGCCTACTTGAGCTGTTCTTAGTTTTTAATTCCTCTGAATGTTTTAGTAATTTTTTTCTTCATTGTTTTTCTAAATTATATTTGTAAAACAAACAAAAAAACGAACAAAAAAAATGTTTGAGAGTCCGTTGTTGCTCTTTTAGTTTAGCCTGGAAAAGGGCCTCAGGACATGGCCAATGGCTAAGGGATTTCGGGCGCCATCTCGTGGCCTTTGGGTTACAGTGCAGCATACTCCCTTTAATAGATAATTTGCAAACTCTGTTTCTGATGTTCTGACTGAACTATACAAATAACCAGAGCTTGAAGATAACGAAACCACACATGCAGATTCAATTCTTACCTTCTGTCTAACCTTGGCCAATCAACTCTAAAGTATGTGCTATTTCCCAGTAGACCATGAGGAAAACCAGTCAATGCTCCATCTCTTTGAGATTGGGTTACAAGTATGTACTGTGCTTTTATATAAGGACAGTGCACTCGTAGGTGATACGGCCTTCAGTGGAGGAGTAGGAAATGGGCTTACACTCCCCTTCTCTGTGACACCTTCCCTCATTGCTATCTCTCTTTGTAATTGCTTATGCTCGCCTTAAGAGCCACCACAGGTGTCCATGTTTTTAGCATTTATTACACCATATTGCTGCTTTCATTTGGGGGACTGTGGGCTTCTTGAGGGAAGAGATTGTGCAATATCCTTTTATCCACATTGCCTAGCAAAGTACTTTGCCTATGGTATAGGTAATAAATATTTTCTGTATGAACAAATGCACGATTTAGGTGGATTTGGGTGTTCGACTTGGCCTTTTTTTTTTTTTAGCTGAGCCATCCTGCCACCTGTTGGCAGCTCAGCGGCAGCTCAGCTTGGGCTGGGAATTGAACGGGTGACCCTGTTGCTCAGAGCTCAAACTCTTGAGCGAGCTCTTAACCAATTGAACCACTCAGCTGGCCCATTTGACTTGGGTTTTGAATTTGTTAATTTAGAAATTGTAAGGTTAAGCCTCAGGAAGGTGGATCTTTAAAACTTTTTTTAGGTTTTTACATAAGTACACATTATGCCAAAATTGTGTGTTAATATGTTAATAATGGAATTGGTAAAAGTTGCTTTGCTATCTAAGAGTAACTACATCGAAACTATGCTAAACATTTTCTTTCATTTTAAAAGCTAGGTAAAAATTTTAGAGTTTATAGACGTGTGTATGTGTGTATGTATACACTCACAGAAGCATATGTATCTCTTTCTCCTGACATGGAGACTTTTATGGAACTGTTTACCTGAAATACACATTTTATCACATTTATATATTCATAACTGTTCAAATATATTTCAGTGACATAGTGTTGTCAGAAAGTTCATGGGTAATGAAATACAAGGATGTATTCCATGATATCAAATGGGGAGTTACGGTACACAAACATCATTAAATAATAAAATAGTGGTTAATGTATTTGAGAACAGAATGTACAACCTGGAAGTCTGCTGACAGATGGAAAGTTTAGGATGTAGGATTTGATGTGCCCTTGGTCGGAGAAGAGATGATGGGATGAGGACTGATTCCTCGCATGAGAGTCTGGGGACTAGGAAATCCCTGGAAAGCTCAGGATACTGGCAAGGCCTACCCGGGACCAGAAACTGGAGGGAGAAGCGTGGAGTACAGATGTCATATACTTATATACTAGTGCACTGGAAAGACATTGCCTAGTGCATTTCATAGAAACTTCAAACCACCTCTTGAACTATTATTTTGGATAAACTTCTGTCACGGCATGGTCTGTCCTGCTGCAGAGGCAGCTACTGAACTACAGTGGGCTCCTCCTTTCTCTAACCTGTTGGCAGCTATCTCTAGAGGGGTTTCTCAGCCTTAACACCATTGACATCTTGGGCCGGCTAAGTCTTTGTTCAGAGACTGGCCTGTCCATTGTAGGATGCTCAGCAGCACCCTTGGCCTCTACCCACTAGATGCCAGCAGCATTCACAGCTGTGACAGCCAAAAACATCTCCAGACATTACCGTGTCCCCTGGGGGGAGCAGCACTGCTCTAGATTCTGGTAAGTCTGCGCATTCCAGGAATATTCTCCTGTAGGTGTGTCCCGGTCAGGCCCAGGCCCACCCTTTCCAGCAGGGAGGGGATGGTCCTTCCTGAACACTGTCTTATCAGTCTTCTGTAAACAAGATCATCTTAAGGATAGAAGTTTGGACCTGTAGGTTTTCAGAAGTCAGCTATTTGAAGGGGTAGTTTATAAAAGGCACTGAGAAGGAGTGCATTTAATGCTGTTTTAGTCATGGCTCTGTACATTACCCAATTAATATGAAAGTGGTGAGTCAGGATTTGTGTTCACTTACTTGTAGGTCCCCAGAAATTACTCCACTATCAAGACCTGCTTCAGTAGTCAAATACTAAGCTCCGCAAAGACAGAAAGTTGTTTTTGGTTACTGATATATGCCAAGTGTGTATAGTGGGTGATCAAGTTGCTGAATGGTGAATGAAATACTGACTGGCTTTTTCGAATGGATCCAAAAATAGCTGTCCTCCTTGTAAACATACCGAACGTGAGGTTAGAAAAGCACCATCGAATGGAAACTATTAATCAAGAAGATACAGGCTTATTCCACGAGTAAAAATATTTGTACATTTTCAGATTGGAAAGAAATCTGAGACTAGGATTCCTGTTGTATCAGACGTATTGGTGAAGTTGTCACAAACCTGTTTGAACACCAAATTACTATCCGTCTTCAACTTTCCTAATAGGTTGGCTTCAAAAATTTCAACTCTGAGCTAGCATTTGAAACATACTTTGCTGTAGCAAAGCGGTAAAAATGGCAGTTGGATTCCCATGTCCATGTCCAAATGCCTGTCACTGATCATCTGCCATTTATGACAGAACTCAGCGAGTTTCAGCCAGGAGGCCAGTAATACCCCCAGTTCTAGTGATGGCTTCCCCCAGGGTGATGAGAGGGGATTCACAAATTCTCTTGGGTCTCAGGTTCCTTAACTACATGGCACATCTGTAGATAATTATGACAAAGTAATTGTCATATTAGGGTGGCAAATGGGTTGATGAAGTAGCGCCCGAGTTCAGCATTGTATGTGGTCATTTGTGAAAAATTGGCTACATACACATGCATTTAGGGATTTAACTTTTGTTAAACTAAATACAAACATATAAGTTGTTTCTTAAAAATTTGGTACAAGTTGAAAACATGAATTTAAAGAAAAGCGGAGGTGTCCAAAGGGCTTTATGGTGTACAGAGCAGTGAGCTCTGGGGTCAGCTGTCCCTACCAGATATCGGGAAGATGACTGTGCTCACCACCTATTCTTCTTTCCTGCCACCCTCAAAGGTACAGAGAGCCATAGTGGAGTGATAGGAGCCCAGAAACTACGATGAGCCTGTCTGGGTTCAAAGTCTGAGTCTACCTTTGCCAGCTAGCTGTGTGACTCTGGGTAAGTAGTTTATCTGAGCTTTAGTTTCCTTGTCTGTGAAATAAAGAACTCAAAGAGTTGCTGTAAGGATTAAGTAATATTCCTAACCTGCCTAGTACAACACCAGCTGGCACATAGCATGTACTGCGTAAATGGTAATCATTGTTGTTACCAGTCTGATTCAATCTGACATTTCTTATCTTGGAAAGAGAAAAAATAACTGCCTATCTTTTGGCATTAGTGTCTAACATGAACACTAAATATCTTTGGGCCCTAATATGGACTTTTATATTCCCTAAGAAATTAATTTTGTAACACAATGTGGTAGTAAACAGTGTACTTTATTGAGGATGTTCAAGCATCATGACCTGAAGTATTTTTCAGTTCAGCTTATCGAAATACTTCAGTTTTCCTGCTGGATCTGGGATTATCTGTTAAAAGAAAAAAAGCAAATTACTAATTTTAAAAGCTAAAGTACATCATTGGTCACTTGACATTAGTTGCCCATTTCTTAACTAAAGAAATTTTTTTGTGTACCAAATTATGTCATCTGTATACAGTAAAAACTGAATTTGTCCTACCTACTAATGTCAGCTATCCCACAAGGCAAATAATCTGTTAATAAATTAACATCTGTACTCAGGCACCCCCAGATTTACTTACAACTCTTCTCTTGGCCACCAGGCTTTCATGGCATCTTCAGGTTTGATCTAATTAAACCAAACACATTAAGAGAGCATGGCTACAGATGTTAATATATCTCTAAAATCATCTGCTGATTGAAATGCTGGCATGCCATAACAACCTGAAAAGGGGGCAGTGTGTTCAAATGGCTGTTTTGGGATTCTAGAATGCAACCTTTTAATCTCAAACTGCAAAGTAAAAAAAATACGCAAATACAACTTAAAGTATTACTTTCAGCAAATTCTTTTTTTTTTTTCTTTCAGCTGAGCCATCCTGCTACCTGTTGGCAGCTCAGCGGCTGCTCAGCTCGGGCTGGACTCGAACCGCTGTTGCTCAGAGCTCAAACTCTTGAGCGAGCTCTTAACCAACTGAGCCACTCGGCCGGCCCCTTTAAAGTATTACTTTCAATAACTATTTAGTGACTGAACTAATAGTCTGAATGAAAAAATTTGCTTCCTATTAGATTACAGCCTTAGAAACCTAGATTTATTTTTGAAATTTCCATATCAATTGACCTCATATTAACTGTTACTTGGTAGTTATAGGTAAAGTACATCTAGCCCTACACATAAAAAAACCCTTGTAATCAGCTCACCATAGTTCTATATGTGTTTTCTTCTGAATTTTTCTTTAGCATAAAGTAAACATTACCTAGCTTTTCAGGCATCACTTCAAGGAGTATTGTGCCTGCCAATTTCTAACCTTGACGCACTTCAGTTCAATTTGCAAACACTTATGGAATAACTACTTTGTGCCAAGAGTGTGCTGGGCAGCAGGGGATACAAGGATAACTACCCAAGTCCCCGGCTTTAAGGCTCATACAAGCACGTGGGGAAGTTGTCCGTGTACATAACCGTTTCGATGTAATGCACAATATGATTGTGTATGACAAGGTCCATGTGACTCAGTGGAGGCTGAGATGGCATTAGGGACGTCTCAGAGCAGAGCTGGCATTTAAGTTGGTCTTGAAAGAGGAGGAGAATGCAGAGGAAGGGGTCAGGTATTCCAGGTTTTAGAAAGACCCGAGCAAAAGCAAAAAAGGTGTGAGTCACGTGATTTGGTGGGAGCACAGTGTGAGTGACTCAGAGGGAAGATGAGGCAGGAGGGACCTATGGAGACAAAGAATGCCTGTGCCTGCATCGGACTTTGTCCTGTGAGTGCTGGCGAGCCGCTGAAAGCTGCTCATCTGGAGAATGACATGCATTGGAGAAGAGAGAACCTGAGGTCAGGGAGACAAATGAGGGGGCATGTGCAATCTACCGGGGAGACCTGAGGGAGATGGAGATGAAAAGTTCATCTAGCTTCAAAGAAACACCACCACAAACTCTTTTTGATCCTGTATCCCCCCTCTCCAGCTACTTTCTGTCCTTCTTCCCTTCACAGCTGCATTTCTGGAACCAGGTCTGGAACTTCATCTCCTTTTCCTCATCCTGCCCTCACCCCATCCTCAAACCACTGCAAACTAGCTGCTGCCCTCACCATGTTCACCAGTGATGCCACATCACCCAGCCAGTTCATCGTACTCCAGTTCCCCATGCCACGTGACGCTGGCATTCCTCTCCCATTCCTCGTAGCTCGCTCTATTCCTGCAGCCCCGGCCCCATTTCTGTTCCTTGGACATGCTAATCTGGTTCCTGCCTTAGGTTTTCTGCCCTTGCTGTTTCTGCGCAGCTCTAGGCAGGCCTGGCTCCCTCTGTTCACTCCCGTTTCAACTCAGATGTCTCCTTAGAGGTCTTCTCTGACCACTTTATCCCTCCCCAGGCACTATCCTATCAGCTCCTATCAGCCTGTTTTTGAAAGCATTTGCCATAGTAAAATGAGACTGTAACTGTGAGGGCAGGGACCTTGGCTGTGGTGTTCACTAATAAATACCTTCTGGCTATCCTAATAGTTTGAATAGTTGCCATATAGCAGGTGCTCTAGAAATGTCTGTTGAGAGAATGCCCATAAAAACAGAGTAAATGGTGGTTGCCAGGGGCTGGGGTAGGGGAAATGGGGAGACGCTGATCCCAGGGTACAAGCCTTCAGTTTTTTTTTTTTTTTAGCTGAGCCATCCTGCCACCTGTTGGCAGCTCAGTGGCAGCTCAGCTTGGGCCGGGACTCGAATTGCTGTTGCTCAAAGCCCGCACTCTTGAGCGAGCTCTTAACTGAGTTACTCGGCTGGCCTTACAAACCTTCAGTTTTAAGGTGAGTAAGTTCTGGGGAGCTAATGTATAGCATGGTGACTATAATTAGTAGTTTTACACATTTGAAATTTGCTAAAAGTCAATCTTAAGCCTTCCCACCACACACATAAAAAGGTAACTATGTGAGGTGATGGATTTGTTAATTAAGCTGATTGTGGTAATCATTTCATAGTGTATACATATATCAAATCATCACATTGTACACGTTAAATATATACAATTCTGTTTGTCATTTATGCCTCAGTAAAGCTGGGAAGAAAAAATGAATGCCCAAACACAGTATGTGATAACACATGTGCATGTTACTGGAGAGAGAATCCATGGTTTTCACCAGATTCTCAAAGGGGTTTGTGCCCCTGCCTGCCCCACCCCCCAAAGTTAACCAAGTGGTTAGTCAATGTTTTCGGAAATGTAAAATCCTCGCCTTGTAATAGCCTTCGTAGTTAATTTGTACTTCTTGGGAGCCCCTGCTGATCTCTCAGCACATGCCCATGGCTGATGGTGATGTTACTCATCAGTACTGTTGGTTTGCTACAGCCCCAGGGGGAAGTGCCCCCTAGCTTCAAGACCTGTCCAGAAATGCTTTCTAAGGCTTCTCGGGTAATGCTTGCAGTACCTGATTCCTATTTCTATCTGTGAGCCTCACAATCAATAATTATAAACTAACCTAATGACTAATTTATTATTGAAAGTACCTAGTGCTCAAAGTACCTTTAATGCGTGACTTCAAATCCCCTTTGAGAACCATCCAATCTATATAGAGGTGAAGGAATGTATACTGTAACATTAAATTTGACTCCCAAGGGCAAAGCTGTTTTGCAAAGCCATCTAAAACTGGTTCAAAACCAATGAAATGTTACTTTACCTAATCTGAGTGAGGTCACACAGTGAATTTCTACCTCTCATTGTCTATGGCTAATGGTACTATTGTTTGTTTGCTTTGGTTTGCTGAGGAAAAAAGTCTTAGGAGCCTGTTTTTCTTTTATCCTAAGATAATGATTCTTCATTGATGCTCTAGTATTTTTCAATTTCATAACTATAGTTTGTGTAAAACTCTTGATAGTTAGAAGATAACATGTTAGTTAAAAAAGGTTCAAGCAAGTTTCCACCTTGTATTTTGGCCAGAGACTATTTCAGGGATTGTCTATAAATTATACAGCCTCCCTAAATGAAAGAATGTCCTTGTTTCAATCTTTTTTTCCTTCAAATAAGAAGGAGAGAATCATTAGCTTCAGTGTTCATTAAGCCAGATTTTCTCCAAAGCTTTTTACTATGTATAGAAAGGTTTTGCTTGTGACTGTTTTCTTTGCCAAAGTACAGGAAGAAATTCCATATGTGATCTATGTGATCTCTAAGACTTCTGAGATCTCCACTGTTCCCGTTTTTGTTGTTTTTATTGATATATTTCCCTGGATACGTGGCTTGAAAATTCACAGCATGGAGCCCATCTGCTTTCTCCGGTTTCAGTTACTCTCCCTACAGCTCAAAGAATGCCTGTGCTTTTCTGATTTTTGCCTAGAAAGTTTGTTTACTTCATTTACAAAATCAAGACAGTACCATTACAAGGAAGGATTATCTTAAGGTTGGCATTTTTGTTGGGCCCCCTCCATCCCCTTAACAGAAAAATGAGTTTGACTTACTGTTTCACTACCAGGTTTCCAACCAGCAGGGCAGACTGAAAGGAAAAAAATTGGCAAAAGACAGTTTAAAAACAGAGTTCAGTTCTCTTAGCGACTCTTGGCTTTACTTTTTCCAAATGAAACTGAAAATACAGCCAATATTAATGAGAACATTTCTAGGCCACTGAACAATTCTGTTAGCTTGCCTGCTCACACCAAGGAATTTTAGTCATGGGGCTTATCAGCAGGCAGCTAATTATTTTCATTTTTGCCACTTTTGTTTAGTTACATTTACAATAGAAGAAATCAAACTGAGTGTTCCTCTAATAAAGTTGGAAAGTTTGTGAATCTGGTGACCTGAAATGTCTGGGCACGGCAAAAATCTCTCTGAATTTACATAAACTTACAATAAGCTTATTTGCTATTTCCTGCAGTATTTTGCACTGATGCCATGGTTTGCTGTTTGTCAAGAGATTTTAAAATTATTCAGAAAGTAGGATATCCCCTTGATTTGGAATGCACCCTGACCCAGGCACTGAGTTACACTTTTGAAAGGAATAGAAAACATATGTTCTCTTTTTAGCAAAACCTGACCTTTTCCATTTAGCTACCGTGAAAACCCGGAGTGAAAGGATGAACTGATAGATTGCTAGTGTGATCCTGAATTATGTTGAGGAGAACAATCTCAATCAAATAACGTAAACATGCAAATAAATCCTACATCACTACATATTGCCAGACTGGCACATTTTAAGTTTAAGAAACATAATTTGAAAACTTGTAGTAGAGGAAACTTTTCTCTGAGCTTATCCACAAGGACTATACAAATAATTAATATTTTTGCATCTTATTCAGTAAGTAGATTACTGGTATTTTGTTTAAAGCACTTTAAACAATAATTTGATCTGTTAAAAAGATTGGCTAATAATTTGAAAATAATCAGAAGACTTTGGAACCGTCTGAATTACTTTTAGGAAAGAAATCAAACTAATTAGGCTGCTGTCTCTCAAACGAAAAAATCCAAAGGCTACGATGTTTAGAAGGGTACCTTCTCCATGTTTGTCGGTGTACTGGAATGCTTGAACCAAACGAAGTGTCTCATCCACTGATCTACCCACAGGAAGGTCATTCAGAGTAATCTGTCTCAGGATTCCTTTGTCATCGATAATGAAGAGACCTCTGTAAAACAGAAGAGTGGCAGAGGTGAGGCCATTTCATTTCAGTTAAGATGAATAATGTGAATCCCTGTACCATCCACACAGGATTGTTACGCAGAGCCAACAACACACTACCTACCTGACTGGTACACACACACTTACCTCATACCCACACTTACCTACTATATAATTTGGGATTATCCTTGTGAAATAGTAGCTTTACATTTTGTTTTTGTCTGTGAAATGTGCTGTAGTATTTACAGCTGAATCTTCACATGTACTAGGTTTGGGATTTTACTGCACTGTAAATGAAAAGATAAAACTACACAGCAAAACCTTTTTGGTGAAAGAGTGGCCCATCTTGCTCATCACTAGCTGTTTAGAACATCTTCCTATTTCCTTTTTCAGTGGTGGAAAAAGACAAAATCACCAATATAAGGAAGTTGCCTTTCCCTCTAAATCTCTGTATGTGTGATTCATTTCTATGGCTTGGGGAATAATGTAGTTTGACCAAAAAGACCTGTTATTGAGATAGGGGTGGCATTGCAAGAGTTAAAGTAGACTAGAGATAAACAAAAGTTTTCAAAAGACTTCATTTTCTATTTATTTAAGTCAATATGGATTTCAACCCAATACTTATTTGGAGTAGAAAAAGATCTCAGGTACTGGGATAATTGCTTGTGTACAAGTATTATAAATAATGATGATATATATTTTAATAGAAACACATGCAATTACTTATCTATTCCATGAAATCTTATATCATACATATTAAACATTACTAAACTATTCCTGCTTATCCTACATTTTTTGAATGAACAACTTGATGTCTGAACTAACTAAGGGCTCACTTTCCTTGGGCCAGGTCAACTTGCCAAACTTGGGCAAAACTGTTAATTATTGTTCTTTGGGTGTTCTTTCTTTCTTTCTTTTTTTAAAGATTTTATTGGGGAATTGGGAGAGGGGAACAGCGCTGGGGAATCGGGGGAAGGGGAACAGATAAGTTGCTGTTTTGTTCCTCAGTCTAGTTGTGGAGGACGTCGCCCCACTGGCTCAAGCTGGCACCATCATTACGCTCTTCCTGGGCGAGGCAGATCAGTCGCCAGCCTCTAGACGGCCGCTCACCGCGGCTGCTGGCTGCTCACCGCGGCTGCTGGCTGCTCACGCTGGCTGCTGGCTACACACGGTAGCTCATGGCAACCCACTGCAGCAGGGGCTGCAGCCCACGCCGTCGCCGGCAACCCACAGCAGCCCAGCCCCAGGTCGAGCCGCTGTTCACCATCTTAGCTGCAGAGGGCAGTATCACTGGCCCCCATATGTGGGATCTGAACCGGGACCCTCTGGCATCCCAAGCCAGCTCTTAACCATCGCGCCACTCGGCCGGCCCTGGGTGTTCTTTCATGTAGCTACTTTGACAGTTGAAAATTGTTGTCAGTGGTGATCAGGTCTGATCTGAAGTGAGCCTGGTGTGAAATTTTGAGCTTGCCTCTGTAACACATCATACCAACATATCACACAAAAACAAATCTGCCTTTTCTTTGGTAGCAAATTCTAGCTTTTGTTTTCTGTTTTGACTTTGTGAATTGATTCTTTGGTAGGCTTTAAGACATTTGCCATACTTGGTGTAATATGTATGCATGTCTCTTCCATAGAGAAAATACAGGTTATTCTTATGAAAAATCAGAAAATAAAATGGCAACAGACATCTCAGTAACAACCCCAGAAGCTAAAGGTAGCAGGGCAATGCTTTCAAATGTTTTCAGGAAAAGGCCTTTCACTCTAGAATTCTATACCCAGCCAAATTATTAATCAACATGAAAGGAGAATAAAAACATTTTCTGACATGGAAGGCCTCAACCATCTTACCTTCCAATGATCTTTTACTAGGAAGCAATGAAGCTGTTCTTCACTCAAACAAGGGATTAAATAAAGAAGGCAGGCAGGCATGGGAGCCAGAAAATTAAGGGAAAGGGGCAGTAACTGCTAATGGGCGTGTGGTTTCTTTTGATGTGATGAAAATATTCTAAAACTGATTGTGGTGATAGTTGCACAACTCTTTGAATATAGTAAAAAAGACTGAATTGTATGCTTTATATTGGGTGAGTTGTATGGTATGATATATCTCAATGAAGCTGTTCTTAAAAAAACAGGATTGGGCCGGCCGAGTCGCGCGATGGTTAAGAACTGGCTTGGGACGCCAGAGGGCCCCGGTTCGGATCCCACATGAGGGCCAGTGACACTGCCCTCTACAGCTAAGATGCTGAACAACAACAGCTCAACCTGGAGCTGGGCTGCCGT